AAAGGTCTGTATTCTGAAAACCATATAACACTGAAAGAAATTGAAGATAACACAAATGGAAAGATACTCCATGCCCGTGGATTGGAAAAACAAATAATGTTAATATGTCCATACTGTCCAAAGCAATCTACAGATTTAATGCAATCACTATCAAAATACCAACAACATTTTTGACAGAACTAGAATAATCCTAAAGTTTGTATGGAAACACAAGACCTTAGCTAGCCAAGCCATCTTGAAAAAAACAAAACTGGAGGCATCACAGTCCTAGATTTTAAGATGTATTACAAAGCTATAGTAATCAAAATACTATGGTACTGATGCAAAAACAGACACTCAATGGGACAGAACAGCCCAGAAATAAACTCATGATTACATTTCACAAAAGAAGCAAGAATATGCAATGGGGAAAAGACAGTCTGTTCAACAAATAGTGGTGGGAAAATTGGATAGCTACATGTGAAAGGATGAAACTGGACCACTTTCTTATACACAAAAATAAGCTCAAAATATATTATAAAGATCTAATTGTAAGATCTGAGGGGCACCTGGATGGCTCAGTGGGTTAAGCATCTGACTTCAGCTCCGGTCCTGATCTCACGGTTCATGAGTTCCAGCCTCACACCGGGCTCTGTGCTGACAGCTCCGAGCCTGGAGCCTGCTTCAGATTCTATCTTCCTCTCTCTCTCTGCCCCTCTTCTGCTCACGCTCTTTCTTTCAAAAATAAAAATAAAACTTTAAAATAAATAAAACTTTAAATAAACTTTTAAGAAACTTTAAAAAAACATTTCTTAAAAGAAATACGACCTGAAACCATAAAAGCCCTATTACATCAAAATAAGCAGTACAGCAAAAAGAAACAGTCAACAAAGTTAAAGGTCAGTTTATGGAATGGGAGAAGATATTTGCAAATGACATATCTGACAAAGGGTTAGTATCCAAAATCTATAAAGTACTTATAAAACTCAACACCCAAAAACACAAATTTTCCAATTTATGGGTTTTTTTGTAATGTTTATTTTTGAGAGAGAGAGGGAGGCACAGAATCTGAAGCAGGCTCGAGGCTATGAGCTGTGAGCACAGAGCCCAACATGGGGCTTGAAGTAACAAATCGTGAGATCATGACCTGAGCCAGTCAGAGGCTTAACCTACTGAGCCACCCAAGCGCCACTAAATTTTTCAATTTAAAAATGAGCAGAAGATATGAACAGATATATCTCCAAAGAAGATAACAAAAATGGCCAAGATGAGATATCACCTCACACCTGTCTGAATGGCTAAAATCAAAAAACACAAGAAACAAGTACAGCAAGGATTTGAGAAAAGGGAACCCTCATGGATTGTTGGTAGGAATGAAAACTGGTATAGCCACTGTGGACCACAGCATAGAGATTCCTCAAAAAACTAAAAATAGGGGCGCCTGGGTGGCTCAGTCGGTTAAGCGTCCGACTTCAGCCCAGGTCATGAACTCACGGTTCGTGAGTTCAAGCCCCGAGTCGGGCTCTGTGCTGACAGCTCAGAGCCTGGAGCCTGCTTCGGATTCTGTGTCTCCCTCTCTCTGCCCCTCCCCTGCTCATGCTCTGTCTCTTTATCTGTCAAATTTTAAATAAATAAACATTAAAAAAAACTAAAAATAGAACTACCATATGATCCAATAATTCTACTACTGGGTATTGACCCAAAGAATGCAAAAATACTAATTTGAAAAGATATATGCACCCCCATGTTTATTGCAGCATTATTTACAATAGTCAAATTATGGAAGCAGCCAAGTGTCCATTGATAGATGAATGAAGATGTATATATATACAATGCAGAAGTACTCAGCCATAAAAAATAATGAAATCTTGCCATTTGCAACAACATGGATGGATCTAGAGGGTATAACGCTAAGTGAAATAAGTCAGAGAAAGACAAATACCATCATATGTGGAATTTAAGAAACAAATGAGCAAAGAAGAAAACAAAGAACAGACTTTTAAGTATAAAGAACAAACTGATGGTTACCAGAGGAAAGGTAGGTGGGGGGATGGGTAAAATAGATGAAGGGGATTAAGAGCACACTGTGATGAGCACTAGTAATGTATATAATTGTTGAATCACTATATTGTACACCTGAAACTAATATAACACCGTATGCTAACTTTACTGGAATTAAAATTGAAATTAAAAACAATTTAAAAGCCATGCATATCAGAGGAGTGAGGGTTTTTTGGTAACTTTTTAAATTTTTTTTTAATACAATTTATTGTCAAGTTGGCTAACATACAGTGTATACAGTGTGTCCTTGGTTTTGGGGGTAGATTCCCATGATTCACCACTTACATACAACACCCAGTGCTCATCCCAACAAGTGCCCTTCTCAATGCCCATCTCCCATTTTCCCCTCTCCCCCCCACCCCCATCAACCCTCAGTTTGTTCTCTGTATTTAAGAGCCTCTTATGGTTTGCCTCCCTCCCTCTCTGTAACTGTTTTTCCCCCTTCCCTTCCCCCATGGTCTTCTGTTAAGTTTCTCAAGTTCCACATATGAGTGAAAACATATTTCACTTAGCATAATACCCTCCGGTTCCATCCACGTTGCTGCAAATGGCAGGATTTCATTCTTTCACATTACCAAGAGAAATATATATTTATAATATGATGGACATTTTGGTTCTTTCCATAATTTGGCTGTTGTTGAACGTGCTGCTATAAACATTGGGGTACATGTGCCCCTATGAATCAGCACCAGAGGCGTGAGTTTTTACATGAAGATGGAAGAGTAGTGATCTGGAAGTAGCATTACAGGTGGAGAGAATTCTTGCTCCTCCTGACCCAAAGAAGCAGGGGGTTCTACAAAGAAACCAGAGAACAAAAACATCAATTCATGGCTTTTGACATTTCAAAAGCTATTGTTTAGGTGTAAATCAAAGATTTGGAAGAATATATAATACGTGACTATCCCTCTACCATCCCTATCTCACTCCCACCCCCACTCCTATAAGTCTGTAGGAGAGTCTATAAGAGAGAAGAACTGAGAACTCTGGCTAGGGAAGAAAGGAGAAAGCCACTAAGGCAGGGAATAGACGCTGGTGAGTGTCTGAGAGACCTGCAACTTGCTCCCCACAACCTGTCCCAGGCTAAGCACAAAAGTGGGAGTGCAGGATTTGCCATGCCACTTGAGTAATTGACAGAATTCTTTCATATTACACTTCTTTTTATGTTTTATTTTTATTTTTTAAAGTATTTATATTGAGAGCAAGCAGGAGGGGGGGGGAGAGAGAGAGAGAGAGAGAGAGAGAGAGAGAGAGAGAGAGAGAGAGAATCCCAAGCAGGTTCTGCACCATCAGCACAGTGCTGGGGGGGTGGAGAGCCGGGCTTGAACTCACAAACTGAGATCATGACCTGAGCCAAAACCAAGAGTTGGATGCTCAACCAACTGGGCCACCCAGGTGCCCTTCATATTACACTTCTTTTTAAACTGTAGGTTTTATTTTTTTAAGTTTATTTATTTCCTAACAGAGCGAGAAAGAGCACGCGCGTGCGCATGAGCTAGGGAGGGGCAGAGAGAGAGGGAGACACAGAATCAGAAGCAGGCTCCAGGCTCCGAGCTGTCAGCACAGAGCTCGATGCAGGACTCAAACTCACGAACCGTGAGTTCATGACCTGGGGTGAAGTCGGACGCTTAACCGACTGAGCCACCCAAGCGCCCCTGTAGGTTTTATTTTTAAAGCAGTGAACATATTTAGCATCTCTTTGTACGTAATTGATATTAATTGCACTGGTTCTTCAAAATGCTTAAAATTCTCTTTTGCCTACAAATCTGGGTTGTTCTTTTGGACATTAAACATGTTATCCATCAAATGTGTTACTTACTACATTTATGTTCTATTCAAACAATTCAATTCCAAACTGTCCCCATGCTTAAAATATCCCCCAATATAGATTTTTAAACTTCCTTAATCTCTTTTCTCCTTTAAAACCTACTTTCTAATTGAAGACTTTGCTTAGCTCCAGCATGCATTTAATAAACAATTCTATTTTACACAAACTTTAAGTGTAGCAAAACCATTTTGCTGTTTATATTTTTCCCATAAATTATCAACTTTCCAAAAATATGCTGATAAGCAGCAACCAAATGAAACAAGCATTTACCACATGTGCTTTTTATGCTTAAAAAATCTTTGAAATTGTCGTTTATTAGCATAACCGTACATAACTACTAAGGGTCCCTCTTCTCAGCACTAAAGATCAAGCAGTAAGCAAAATAAATTCTGTACCAGAGTACTAGTGCTGATTTCTGTCAGACAACAAGGTCTCACATTCACACTTCTCAAACTGATTCACAGTAGGGAAAATGCACCAGAGAAGTCAAAGGAAAAGGCAGATCAATCTTTCTAGTCAAAGATGGATGGGAGCCAGGGATAATACTAAAGCACAGACCTATCAGGAGCAGAATGCAAACTTTGTGATTACAAATATAAGCTTGAAATTTCAAACTGTAGTGGGCAGCTCTGACCTATGTCCATGGACAATCAGTCCCCAGATTTGTCAAAACTCAAAGACAGAACAATCTGGACTGGAAACTCAGAGGTCAGGCAGTGCCTTCTCAGGGTCTGCTCCTCCTCACTCTTAACCAGAGCCTCTGGTACTCGGTAAACTGAAGCAAAGAAAGACACAGCCATTCTTGGATTCCGCATTTCCCTAACAAGGACTAAGAGTAAAGTGAAGAGTGGGCTTGAGTCAGTGTTTAAAACAGCACCAGAGCCAATGGTTCCTTACTCCCTTGCAGTCGGCCATGTGGCTGGTGCACGTGCCCCCTCCACCTGTTTGGGAAAAGGAATGAGGCCGCAGGTTTCGGGCACTGAGGAACTTTTCTCGACGAAGTGTTCCCGGGGCAGCGAAACCTCTTTCTGTTTTAGCAGCACTCCAAGGCTCAGCCTGCGGACTGCTCCCCGACTCGCTCGGAATGCCCTTCCCGGCTCCCGGGCAACGCCCTGTGACGTCACCGCGAGGCGCCGAGAGCGGGCGACTGTGAGTCAGTAAACCTTAGTGACAGCTCGAGACAATGCCCTCACGTTCCCAGGTTCTGGGAGGGTGTCAGGTTTTGTGGTGTTAGCTGTAAGAGGGGAAGGGCGTGGGACGTTTCTGACCTGACACTATGGAGGAAGGAAGAGGCGCCAACTTCGACGGTGTGAGCACCGACCGCCTTGAAAAGGAGTTACTGGAAGAAATCCATCAGAAGTGAGTTGAAGGGCGGCGCGCGGACTTTCGCGCGCGTGTAGGGTTCAGGTACACGTAGCTCAAGGAAATGCACCTGTGTGTGCTCCGCCCTTCCAAGCTGAAGCTCCTGAGGTCGATGTGACACAAGCAGTGTGATTAATACCCGGGGAGATCTGGCGACATCTAAAATCAGTGTTTTATAGGAAAGATTCATTTGCTTCTTTGATTAGCATTTGGTATTAGAAATAGGCAGATTTTGAGGTAGGATTTTCTGTCTTTAGGATCAGATCAGATGGGAGTGTATTGTGTGCGTATACTGTAATGCTAACCTATGTGTCTTGTTTTCATGTTCCACTAAATTCAGCTTTTCTGTTTCAAATTCCAAAGGTTTTGTTTAGTTATGCTTATCTTTCATCCCATCCCTTTAGAAGAACTTAAAAAATGGTGGCATTTTGTAAAAATAACGCCTCTCCTATATACTTAAAAATACTCAATATTATACTTCATATTAAATCTTTGAAAATTTTTAAGTTTTTTTTTTTTTTTTTTTAATAACCCCAGTCCCACCAGCCAGCCCCACAAGATTTAGACCCTCTTATGTGCCCTAAAGCTTCCTGAGCTTTCCTCTATTGTGGCTCCAGCCACACTATTTTAGTTAGTTATTTCTTGATCTGATACTAAACCATAAACATTCCCTTAGGCAGTAGACTATAAGAGCAAGTACTTAGAGGAATCCTGCATAAATTCAAATCCCAGCTCTTATCACTTAGTAAGTACCTGATCTTGGGCAAGTTAATGAACCACTAAAGCTTCAGTGTTCTGAACTCTAAGATAGGTGTAAGAATTATTACACTTGATGTGGTTGTTGGCAGGGTTGAGTGAAAAGAATGTAAAGCACTTCGCATCCGCTTATAATAAGCATTCAGTGGAAGCCGCTGCTGTTGCTGTTGTTCAGTTCACTTATTCACTGTAGTATTTTAAGCATTTAGCACAATGCTTTGACATAATAGGCAACCAAAAATACATAGTGCATAAATGATTTGGTCATCAAATTAAAAAAAAACATTTTTATGTTTATTTTATTTTTGACAGAGAGAGAGAGAGAGACATAGCATGAACGGGGGAGGGTCAGAGAGAGAGGGAGACACAGAATCTGAAACAGGCTCCAGGCTCTGAGCCATCAGCACAGAGCCCGACGCGGGGCTTGAACTCACAGACTGCGAGATCATGACCTGAGCCGAAGTTGGGTACTCAACCGGCTGAGCCACCCAGGTGCCCCTCGGTCATCAAATTTTAATAGTTAATGTGCTAATTTACTCATGTCCTAAATACATCATCTCTGGAATGCTATTTGTATGTGTGTGTATATGTGTGGGTTTTTTTTTTATTAGTGTTTCTTTTTTCCTCTTTGTTTCAGATTATCAGTTATTACCTGGCTATTCCGTTCTCCAATAAATTGCAGTTCATTTGCTGGTCTTTGAGAAGCCAGATAACAACTTCTTGGGATCATATTTAAGTTAAGAGTAAAGGGTTTCTAATGGTCACCTGGAGGCCTCTGAGCCTTAGTGCATATTAGTGTCCTTGTCGACCTTGGTAATCAGAAGCCTCCATTTGCCTGATTTCTGATTGTCAACCATGCCTTCAATTAGAGACATTTCATAATAAATTGTTCCTAAAGTAGTTGTGCATTGATATGTTATTCTTTTCATGTTATAATTGGATCATAATTAACAAGATATTTGTAATAATAGGGATATAGTGCAACTATCAATGCTTGAAATAATACACAAGATAGAGGAACTGGAAGCCAAACTCAATACTGATGACAAAGGTATGTAAATAAATATTTTTATATGTGACTCTGGTATAATTATTGTTTATTTTGCCAAGATACTGGTAGAGCATTAAATTAAATACAGGAAATAGTAGTACCAAGATCTCAGCACTGCTTTTTGGCAGCATAAATAATAATTTATTAATTATTAGGCTTTAAGGCCAATATTTTCTTTTTTTCAATTTTTTTATGTTTATTTTTGAGAGCGAGAGTGAGAGAGAGCATGAGTTGGGAAGGAGAAGAGAGAGAGGGAGACACAGAATCCGAAGCAGGCTCCAAGCTCTGAGCTGTTAGCATAGAGCCCAATGCAGGGCTCGAACCCACGAACCATGAGATCATGACCTGAGCCGAAGTCAGATGTATAACCAACTGAGCCACCCAGGCACCCCTAAAACTAATATTTCCAATGTCAAACGTGTTACTGCATAATTATTCACCTACTTACAACTTCAAAATGTTCATTAGTTAGCAAAACTTTTGTTACATGACATCAATACATTATTGTTTTTGGTAGATAATAAAATACAAGTTTTCTATTTAACTTAATACCTCTCATATCTTAACTTCTGCATTTGGCCATAACTTTAAAATCTTTATCTAGGTTTTGGCTATTTGTGTTGAAAGAATGGTGGACGAGTGCTGTGCACACACACACACACACACACACATCTGCACACTCACATACCCACATATCTTTAAAACTTAAAATGTGGGGGCGCCTGGGTGGCGCAGTCGGTTAAGCGTCCGACTTCAGCCAGGTCACGATCTCGCGGTCCGTGAGTTCGAGCCCCGCGTCGGGCTCTGGGCTGATGGCTCAGAGCCTGGAGCCTGTTTCCGATTCTGTGTCTCCCTCTCTCTCTGCCCCTCCCCCGTTCGGCCTCTCTCTCTGTCCCAAAAATAAATAAACGTTGAAAAAAAATTAAAAAAAAAAAAAAAAAAAAAAGAAAAAAAATAAAACTTAAAATGTATGTAAGATACTAATTTATTCCACAAATATTGAGACCTGCCATATTTCAACACATTGAATGGAAGACCTTTCTTTTCCCTGTTCTAAAAAGGTTCACTGACTATTGGGAGAAAGTATCAAACTAAAATATGAATATGAGAAGGGATGTCACTTCTGCATGAGGAGGAAACCCAGTTAAGGGAACCTAACACAATTTAGATGAAGGCATAAAGACAGCCTTTCCAGAGGAGGCAGTGCTTGAACCGAATGCTAAAGAACAGTAGGGTTTTATTAAGCTTATGGGGGTGGACTTTGGTTCTTAAACCCATTTATACTTTTCTATTGGGGAAGCCATGAACAAAAAGAATTAGTAACTATATAGGAAATAAAATGCTACTTTTCTTAAGTACCCAAGGCTCTTTTAAAGCTTGATTGGAGAACACTTCTTTGTCCCAATTCTGAAGTAGCTTCCTACGTCTTCACATCTGGGATATAACTATATCTGGGCTATAACTGGCTCTGTGGCAGGCGGACTGTGAGTGCACTTACCAAGTAGTTGAAGTGGCAAGGCTAGCTGAATTTTCTCATCTATCCAGTTACAGGCAAAACGGGTCACACTCACAGATATGCATGCAATGAATAACCATGCCCACTAGTAAAATGTGAGCCCAACAAATTGTATTATGAGCAAATCTTCTCATGGGGAGGAGCTGGATTAAAAAAAAAGACAACATACAAGAAGTTAAACAGCATTCCCTACTAATGTAATTGGAAATACATTAGTAGCCAAGATGATAGGCAAAATGTCCATATTTTGACTATATTTATATCCTCTGCAATTCAATTAGAAAAAAAATGAAGTTCTCAGTAATAAATATGAGTAGAACAGAGAGAATTCATGAGTATGTAAAATATCCAACTTGTTTTTTCCTCAAAGAAATTTGAATTGAATTGAAACACATACAATTTGTTGCCTATTGAAGAAGTAGAGTTTTTGTTTGTTTGTTTGTTTGTTTGTTTGTTTTTAAGTGAAATTGGAACTTTATACATTACTGTTAGCAATGTAGTGCTACCCTTTTGGAGAACAGTTTTGTGGTAAATTGCTGCTGCTGCTGCTGCTGCTGCTGCTGCTGGTGATGATGGAAAAGAAGAAGAATAAAATAATGACAATATCAACTAACTCTTATAGCATTTTGTGTGGGCCCTGCACTGTTCTGAGTATTTTATATATTTTAATGAATCCTCCCAATATCCTATAATTTAGGAACTTGAATTGTCCTTATTTTATTTCATTATTTTTATAAAGTTTATTTATTTATTTTGAGAGAGAATGTGTGTGCGTGAGCAGGAGAGGGGCAGAGAAAGAGAGAGAGAGAGAATCCCAAGTGGGCTTCTTGCTGTCAGCACTGAACCTGACTCGGCTCAGTCTCACGAATTGTGAGATCATGACCCGAGCCGAAATCAAGAATTGGACAAAGTTTAGCTGACTGAGCCACCCCAGCAACCCTGACCTTATTTTAGATATGAGAAATTGAGGTGCAGGATAGGTAACTTGCTCACGATCACATAAATAAGCTAGCGGGTGGTAGAGACATGACTCAAACTCACTAGTCCTACTTTAGGGATGTTTTTCCTCATGAAATCTGAAAATTTGGTGGGGGGTCAACTTCACCATAGGAGTTACTCTTTGCCTCATTGTATCCTCTCCTTTGTTGACACATAGGTATTTTTGTTCATGCTGTTCTTGCTGCTTGAATATTCTTTCTCACCTCCTCTGGCTTGGAACAGGTGCCATTTCCCCCGAGAGCATTTCTTGACCCTCTTCAATCTTGACCTCCCTATCTCTCAGTGGCTTCTGCCACCTTCCACATTGGTTGTCCTTTTGTATGTTCCATCTCATCCACTTAACCAATAGTCTCAAATGTTCTGGCTGTATGTTTCCCCTCACCACCACTTGTCCTACTGCTAATTGACTGCTGGGGCTGTGTCTATTTTATTTTTGTAACCCTAGTGCCCAGCACAGTGCCATATATTAGGCTTTTTACTTTCCTTATTATCATTTTCTTATTTTACAAAGTCTTTTCAAGTCAACATAACTTCATCACTATTATCATTATAAATACAATGACCAATACAATTAAATATGACTGAACTTAATAAGTCTGTGTAGGGTCAAGTTTCAACCAATTCAACTGTGTTCTTTTTTAACACTTTAAGATGTATTATTTGGCATTGTTGCTTAGTGGGGCTTTGTTTTTGTTAACACTGCTATCTCTCTTAGAGCCCCGCGCCCGCCCCACCAAAAATCACAACTAAAAGGTAGGGTTTCACCTAATTTTCTCTTGCTTTATGAACTTCCTCTTACAATGTCAATTCATAAAATTGACCATGAATCAAACTTCTAGAATGTTTCCATTTTTGGTTTGATTTTGCTTTTTCTTGTACTGATTCTAGACAAGATCCCTCTTTGAGATTGCAAAGCAATTTTATTTTTCCTTTCCAAATTAGTGCTTATTTTTTGTTTGTTTTTAGAGTTACTGAAGGAGTATTACTCAGGATATTTTTCCACCAAGAGGCACAAATGTTTCTGCTAAATTTTTATCCTCTTAGTCTGTATTTTATTTTATTTTTGTATTTTTTAATTAATTAATTTATTTATTTATTGAGAGAGAGAGAGAGAGAGAGCTCAAGCAGGGGAGGGGCAGAAAGAGAGGGAGACAGGGGATCCAAAGCAGGCTCTGTGCTGACAGCAGAGAGCTCAGTGAGGGGCTTGAACTTATGAACCATGAGATCATGACTTGAGCTGAAGACAGAGGCTTAACCGACTGAGCCACCCAGGTGCCCCTCATTGTCTGTATTTTTTTTTAATGTTTATTTTTGAGGTTGGGGGGAGAGAGACAGAGAGGGAGTGGGGGTGGGACAGAGAGGGAGACACAGAATCCAAAGCAGTCTCCAGGCTCTGAGCTCTCAGCACAGAGCCTGACATGGGGCTTGAACTCATGACCTAAGCCAAAGTTGGACACCCAACTGACTGAGCCACCTAGGCGCCCCAGTCTGTATTTTAAATACTGGTGTATTATAAGTGTATTGTAGGCCTTGATACATTGGCTGCTGTTGTGCTCAAGATCAGGAAGCGTCTATTTTGATGTCGAGTTTATTGCGGCTGTCTCAAAGATAGCACTACATCTCTTATTTGGGTTAGTTTCAGATGTCTCTTAACTTCCCTTAGTATCAAGACTATTTAAAAAAAACTTGCTATTTTTTTAAATTGTATTTTATTTTTTTTATCTAAAATATTTTTGAGAGAGAGAGAGAGTGGGAGAGAAGGACAGAGGGAGAGAGAGAAGAAGAGAGAGAGTGAGGGAGAATCTCAAGCACACTACAGACTCAGTGCAGAGCCCGACACAGGGCTCGATCCCATGACCCTAGGATCATGACCTGAGCTGAAATCAAGAGTTGGACACTCAACTGACTGAGCCACTCAAACACCCTGAAAAACTTGCTATTTTTTACTGCCACTCTTCTTCCCTGTTGAAAACATACTTTAAACATTATTGCATTTTAAAGATGGATGGTGCGCCTGGGTGGCTCAGTGGCTTGAGCGTCTGACTTCAGCTTAGGTCATGATCTACCAGTTTGTGAGTTCAAGCCCTGCATTGGGCTCTGTGCTGACAGCTCAGAGCCTGGAGCCTACATCAGATTCTGTGTCTCCCTCTCTCTACCCCTCCCTCGCTCGCACTCTGTCTCTCTCTATCTCTCTCAAAAATAAATAAACATTAAAACAATTTTTTTTAAATAATAAATAAAGATGGATAAAGAATTATGCAAAAATTGTAAACCTTAATATTTTGGGTACTTTTGGGTTATCACAGAAGAAAGTGTGGTAGGGAAAGAAATAATCAGTGTGGTCCTTTTTCAAAAAAGGAAATACTTGGGGCGCCTGGGTGGCGCAGTCGGTTAAGCGTCCGACTTCAGCCAGGTCACGCTCTCGCGGTCCGTGAGTTCGAGCCCCGCGTCAGGCTCTGGGCTGATGGCTCGGAGCCTGTTTCCGATTCTGTGTCTCCCTCTCTTTCTGCCCCTCCCCCGTTCATGCTCTGTCTCTCTCTGTCCCAAAAATAAATTTAAAACTTTGAAAAAAAATTAAAAAAAAAAAAAAAGGAAATACTTGATAAGTAGGAAGTTGATGTGATTTGTGGGAGCCAATGCTGTTTTGTGAAAAGTAAACAATTTTATTAATCTCCAGCTTTGTGGGCCCCCATCCACTTGTTAAGGAATCAGAAATTATAACACATTTTTGTATTAGCCATGTAAATCAGTGATGGCTGCAGGTTTTGGTAAGTTATATAGTCCTCATTTTTATGCACTTGAATGTTAATTGATTAATTATTAATTAATGAATTATTAATAATATACACATTGTCTTCCCAGGGTTAGGGACATAATTTACCTGGAACAAATCAGTGTTTTATTTAACTGTTTGATAGATCTGTCTTGTCTTTTCCCGTCAGTTCAACAACAGAAACTGATCAGTTGGGCTCAGTTAGTTTATACATCTTAAGATTTTTCTAAAATAGATTCTCCTGTTTTATGTGTCTTCTTCCTCATAGCATGATCAAAACAGCAATGAATACACTCTCAGGCCAACTTTGGCAAAGTGGCAGTAATTAGTGCAGGCAGGATAGGTTAGATTTAGATATGAACTCATTGCAAAAATATCAAACAAAGGTTATTCCAAATTAACTCTGGACATCAGTCCCAGTGATTACCCAATAGTCTAGACAGCTTAAGAACAGAATATTCTTTGCTCTGAACAGATTAATTTGTACTCTATTAAGAAGTTGACCTAGAACTAGCCAAGCTTGCTTTCATATCTGCTCTGCTGACTTATTCATTAGGCACAGTCAGGACATTATTAAGGTCTCTTGATGTTACTTTTAGAGGCCAATGAGATATTTTATTTTATTTTTTTTTTTATTTTTTTTTTTTTAATTTTTTTTCAATGTTTATTTATTTTTGGGACAGAGAGAGACAGAGCATGAACGGGCGAGGGGCAGAAAGAGAGGGAGACACAGAATCGGAAACAGGCTCCAGGCTCCGAGCCATCAGCCCAGAGCCCGACGCGGGGCTCGAACTCACGGACTGCGAGATCGTGACCTGGCTGAAGTCGGACGCTTAACCGACTGCGCCACCCAGGCGCCCCGAGATATTTTATTTTAAAATCAGAAGAAAAAAATGAATATGATCCAGTCTGGATTATGTTTGTCTTTATACCAACATAGTAGTAAAATAGAATTTTTAATATTTTTTTTTAATGGAGGAAGAGGCCCACTAAGGCAACAGGGTCAAGGTCCCATGAAAGTCCCAATGTGACCCTACTACAGTAGCATCAAGACTATTTTTTCTCCTTTTTTAATAGACACTACTGTTTTACAATTTTCTCCTTTAATTCAACAGTCAGTATGCTTACTCTTTGTCTTTTGTCCCCTACAATGCAGAGCCGTCTGTATATACTGAAGGAGTTACACGTTTGAGTGTATGTTTGAGGTCAGTTCACCACACTGGGGGATGTGAACATTGACATCATTACCTCCAAGGCGTTGCACTTATTAACATTAATACATGATAGTATACTATTAGGTTTACTTGTATTTGAGGATCTCTAGATCAGTAATATTTTTAAAGTGGAGGCAAACATTTATAAACTATAGTCAGATGTGTTCAAAATGACTTACGTTCTTTTTTTTTTTTAATTTTTTTTTCAACGTTTTTATTTATTTTTGGGACAGAGAGAGACAGAGCATGAATGGGGGAGGGGCAGAGAGAGAGGGAGACACAGAATCGGAAACAGGCTCCAGGCTCCGAGCCACCAGCCCAGAGCCCGACGCGGGGCTCGAACTCACGGACCGCGAGATCGTGACCTGGCTGAAGTCGGACGCTTAACCGACTGCGCCACCCAGGCACCCCAAAATTGACTTACGTTCTTAATGTTTCAGTAACTGTTCTGATTTTGCTCTGAAGTCCCCATTCCCATGGTGGGAAAAGGGGTCCCAACAAAGAGAGACTTCAGCTAGTCGGTTATACAGATAACTCCATCTATTTGGACTCTGGTATCTTTTGGATAAATGTTCAGTCTCTCTTCTCTTTCAGGCTTCTCTTCAGGCTTCTCTTTTCTTGTTCCCTAGCGCATTTGGACTAATGACTTTCAACTTCAGTTTGGGAGGGTGATTTGCTAGAGATGAGGGGGCTAAGGGAGACATGTGTGCTGGGTTGAGAAAGTTGAGGCCAGTAGCATGTGCTACTACTCTTTCTGCTTAGACTCCTCTGTCAACTATTAAGGAGCAGAAATTGCCTCATAAATGTAAAGCGCATTTAAAGTTTAGAAGCAAGCTATCTTTTTTTCTCTATATAAAGTGTGACTTTAAAGATAAAATAAAATTAGCTTTGGGCCCTGAAGCCAACCAAAGATGTTTAAATTCTAGGCTGTATTCTCCTCCTCTCCTGTAGCAATAAGACAAATGTTTCGGCCTTAATAGCCAAAGGGGTTTGGTGAAGGAAACCTGTTTACAGAAAAGAGAAGATGCCTGAATAGGCAGCTACATGTATTTGCATAGCAGTTAACAAGATACACTTTTGGGGTACCTGAGTGGCTCAGTCAGTGAAGTGTTTGACTCTTGATTTTGGCCCAGGTCATAATCTCATGGTCATGAGATCAAGCTCCACGTCGGGATCTGTCCTGGATGCGGAGCCTGCTTAGGATTCTCTCTCCCTCTACCCCTCCCCTGCTTGCTTGCTCTCTCTCCAAAAAAAGAGGGTACACTTTCAAGTCAGATAAAACCCAGTTCCCTCATCTATTAGCTTTGTCATCTTAAGAATGTTGTTTGACATCTCTGACCCTTGGTTTCTTCATCTGTATAATAGGTAACTAAATTTTTTTTTAATGAGGAATAGTTACTTAATACATGTAAGGCATTGTGTACTTTATACACAGCAAACAGTCTTCAGAATTTGTTTGCAAAGGAAAGAAAATGAACATGACATTGGATGGAGGGTCAGTATTATTTATGCTGTTATGTATGGATATTTCAAGTTCCTATGAAAGTAACATTTTCCTGATAGTCCCTCTAATAGAATTCCGTATAAGGATACATGAGGAAGTAAAGGACAAAGGGGTTAGGGAGTGAGAAGACCAGGAATCACATTAGTCCTAGTGAAGTCTGGCTGGGTGGTAATCCGACTGTGAATCTACTGTCTGCAATCTGAAAGATCCTACATAACAGAGAAATGCATACTTAAAAATTAGTTCACTCTAGGGGCACCTGGGTGGCTCAGTTGGTTAAGTGTCTGACTTTGGCTCAGGTCATGATCTTGTGGTTCACAAGCTCGAGCTCTGCTCAAGCTGAGCTGACAGCTCAGAGCCTGGAGCCTGCTTCAGATTCTGTGTCTCCCTCTCTCTCTGCCCCTTCCTTGCTCGCGTGCTCTCTTTCTCAAAATTAAAGAAACAGTTAAAAAAATAATAAAAAGTAAACAAAATGAAAACCCCCAAATCTTAAAAAAAATATTACCTTTATATTATATTAGAATTAAGTTGTTATATTGACTTAGATGTGTTGGTAGATTATAATATCTATGAATTGCAGTTCAGGTTTATAAGAAGGATGTAAAATATTTTTTTTAAGTAATTTAATCAGGGGCACCTGGGTGGCTCATTTGGTTAAGTGTCTGACTTCGGCTCAGGTCATGATCTCATGGTTTGTGAGTTCAAGCCCCGCATCCAGCTGTGTGCTGACAGCTCAGAGCCTGGAGCCTGCTTCAGATTCTGTGTCTCCCCTCTCTCTGCCCCTCTCCTGCTCATGCTCTGTCTTTCTCTCTCTCTCAAAAATAAATTAAAACATTAAAAAAAAAATTAGTCACTCTAGTTCGTCTATATTGCTAACAAAGTGAAGTACAGTAAGATTGAGCCAATTAATGGTGGTGTAATGAATAAATGAGAGGTGGCAAAGTGATCTTGATTTTCCCCTCTTTTTCACTCAGGTGGTGAATGGAAAGTTCGTTATGAGACACAACTTGAACTGAATGATCAATTAGAAAAGCAAATTGTTTCTCTAGAAGAGAAAATGAAAAAAATTTGTGGAAATCCTTCAGGTACAGAAACAACTATATATATGTTTTTAAGTTGATTTAAAAGTGATAGAATATTAATTGTTCATATTTGCTTTGTTGTAGATAGATTGTCTTTTATCCGTGTCTATGAAAAAATGCCAGTGGTGAGTAAAAGCTGGTTAAATAAGAAGAATAGTTGAAGGAAAGAAATTATGTACTGTTTAAAAAAATAGATCCTCCCAAACATTTAAAGACTGTATCAAGTTACAAATAAAGTATTTTGTTTATTGGAACTCTTCCTAGGAAGTAAGGAGTTCTGTAGCAAAATCTTCAACTTAATGTCCACCTTATAAAGCTGGGCAGGGTTGCAGGTACAACCAAAATGGAAGAAAAAGAATTTCAGTAATCAGGCTGGGTGGAAACACAAGTGTGTTTATTCTGTAACCTAAAAGAGCCTATTAAACACAGAAATACAAATCTTTACCTACATAAAAACATTTGCATTCCACTTCCTCTGGAATATATATATACACATGTATAGATATACATACACACATATATATTCACATTCACACACACACACACACACACACTATATATATATATATATATATATATATATATAATCCAACAGAGAACCCACAAAATTACCCTATAACATGAAAGAAACCTCATTGAGCTTATCTACCTATTTTTTCTTTGGGCGGCCCTAATGACATCCTTTCCTCCTGATAAATTACTTAAATTCATATGTTTTATATTTTACAAAGAACATTTATTTGTTTTTCATTGATTTAAATGTTTATCCTTTAAAATGTAGAGAAGATCTGATGCATGACTTTTCTGGGTCTAGAGCATGCTTGGAAATAGCCTTTTCTTTGTAACTCATGCTGCATTTTTACTTAAGGAATATTCAGAAAAACATGGAAATATTATTAAAAATCAAGGGTACCTAATATGAAAATGAAAATATAATACTCACCTAAATTGGCAGGATTATAACTCCATGAGATAAAATTTAATATTATTCCTTTTAATACCTGTGACACTAAGCTTAAAATGACTAAGTGAGGGGCACCTGGGTGGCTTAGTCATTTGAGTGTCCAACTCTTGATTTCAGCTCAGGCCATGATCCCAGGGTCGTGGGATCCAGCCCTGCATCAGGCTCCATGCTGAGTGTGGAGCCAGCGTAAGATCCTCTCTCTCTCTCTCTCTCTCTCTCTCTCTCTCTCTCTCTCCCCCCCCTCCTCTGCCCCTCTCCCTCTGCCCCTCTCCCTCTGCCCCTCTCCCGCCGCCCTCTCTTCTATCTCTCAAAACAAAAACAAAAAAAAATGACTGATTTGCTCAAAATCACACAGTCTGGAAATGTGGAGGTCAATTCTCTTCCTCTAAAAAAAACTTATGCCCATTTGACTACACCATACTATGCCAACAGCCGTTCTATACCACTTACCAGAAGTAACATGTTTTTTAATAGTGGTACATAGAGCACTAAACTGACTGCTATATTCACAGAGGTCCTGGGGACCAGAGCATTTATGGAGATTGCTCTTTGAATAACTGCAGACCTTTAGTGAAAAATACAGAAAAATCTTGTATTTTTTAAAATAATGATTCAGGAAAGAAATAATCTAATTTGTACACCTCCATTATTTTCAACCCAGAAATACCTTTATTACTATGGCTTGGAAAGTCAGGAACATAACATTTTTCCCCCCCTACCATAGAGTCATATCCCCATCTTGTGGTATTTAGAAATTGCTGCAAGGGCTATTTTAAGCCTTGTCTTTCTTAACTGTAGATAGAATTTTAATTCTACCTATAGAATATAGAATATAAAATATTCTGGCTCCCTGTTTCTTGATAACTTATCCTCAGTACTAGCTTAAGAAATTGGGTATCGCCAGCCTTATGGAGAGTGGCCACAAGAGCTGCTGTGCCATGGTGCAGTACTCTAGAGCAACCCAAGAAGCATTTGATTGGCTTTCTAACTGGTGCCTCAGACTCCATAACATACTCATGTTGACAAAAAATACATTTCTTCCCTTTGATGGGTTTGTGTTAATCTTGAAAAAAATATGGTCTTCTAAGAGGTTTAGCTCTGGAGACAGATAGTTTTATTTCTTTTCAGTAAAGGACTGAAGACATTTTAGAAGAACCAAGAGTAGGGCCATGTACCAAGCAGAAAGGAAAGATAATGAAAGTGCAGCTCTTGAGGAGCTGGTTCTCTCTATTTTGGGGGCAGATACTTTGCATGCATGAGTATTTAGGTTTTCTTACACATGGAATCTGGGAGGAGTTTGTCTGAACAGCAGCAGATTAGGAATCTAGCCAAGGAGCTGGTGATAGAAGTAGCCAACTACTGAGCAAAAAGCATTGGGATCCAAGAATCTGATATCCAATGACAAAATCTTTTATTCAAGGTTAAAAGAGAATATATTAAGTCTTATTCTTTATATAAGAACAATATTTATGAAATTCAGATATATACTCTATGAAATGCAGACATTTTTGGTTTCCTATTAGGTTGATAATTGGAGAAAAGGGTTTAAATTGTTTTTTGGGCGGGGATAGAATATGAAATGAAACACTTTTTATAAATTTACTGATTCTTAATCTTTGTTGTAGATTGTTTAGTCTTTAGGAGTAATCTACACAGACATACGTAAGAAACTGATGTCAGTTTGAATACCAATTTTGACTAACTTCAAATTGCAAGTTTGTGTATGGGCAAAACAGGGATGAATACTAATTTATGACCAGTATATATGTCATTTAAAAAATGTTATCATTTAGAAAAAAATATATAAAATATTAAGTAAGTAATTTACAAACTGGGTCATAAAAGTGGACTTGATCTTAGTATTCTAGAAAAAGTATTCACTTAAGTGAGAATGAAGTTCTGGTCCTTGTTCTGATACAGAATGGTATCAACCTTTTTGAAGGTTGAAGATCAACCTCAACCTTTTTGAAGATTATTTTTCTCACCCACAGGTACTATATAGATTAGGTAATCTTTAAAGTGCCTTTCAACAGTATAATTTGTTAGAATTTAATTTTAGCAAGATATTTCAGTAAAGGGTTACATTTGGTTGCGTGTAAAAGAAAGGCTTAAACCAGTAAGGTGTTTGGTTTTGTTTTCTCATGTAACAGGAAGTGTTAGAGGGATGCTGTTGGGGTTGGTATAATGGCTCCTCCAGACTCTTGACTCTCCACTCGGTCCTTTGAGTGGTTTTTGTCCAGCATGGTCACAAGATGGCCACTTCACTTTCTCACCTGCTTCACCTTCTCTTTCAAAGAAAGAAGTAGATGAAGGGAAAAGGGCAAAGGTGAAGGCCAGTCAAGTCTGTTTTCTTTCAAAGTATTTTCCAACGTGCTGCACCCAACATCTCCCCTTACATCTCATTGGTTAGAACTGCATCATGTGGCCTCCTGTATCTTGAAGGAAGACTGAGAAATTTAGTGTTTTACTGAGCATGGTAGTAGGAAGAAGGGCAGAATGTGTATCAGTTATACAATTAGCTCTATGTGCCGGGGCGCCTGGGTGGCTTGGTTGGTTAGGCGTCCTACTTCGGCTCAGGTCATGATCTCGCGGTCCGTGAGTTCGAGCCCCGCGTTGGGCTCTGTGCTGACAGCTTGGAGCCTGGAGCCTGTTTCAGATTCTGTGTCTCCCTCTCTCTCTGCCCCTCCCCTGTTCATGCTCTGTCTCTCTCTGTCTCAAAAATAAATAAACATTAAAAAAAATTAAAAAAACAAAAACAATTAGCTCTATGTGCCATACAAGATCATTTTCAATGAATACCATTCATTTTAAAGTAGTATGCATTCATTTAATATTATTCAGAAAATAAAAGACAAAGATAAGTATTAAGTCAAACATATCTACTGTTGGCCTCTTTTTTAAAAGTTTTGCATGCATGTATATTGATTAAAAATTACAACCCGGGGTGCCTGGGTGGCTCAGTCGGTTAAGCGTCCACCTTCAGCTCAGGACATCATCTCATGGTTCTTGTGTTCAGGCCGGTGTTTGGCTCTGTGCTGACAGCTTGGAGCCTTGAGCCTGCTTTGGATTCTGTGTGTGTGTGTGTGTGTGTGTGTGTGTGTGTGTGTGTGTCTGTGTCTGTGTCTCTCTCTGCCCCTCCCCATTTGTGCTTTGTCTCTCTCTCTCTCAAAAATAAACATTAAAAAAATAAAAATTACAACCCAGTAAATAAATGAACCCCAAAAAAGGAAAAAATAAGGACATACTTTTTTTTTTTAGTAAAAGGTAAAAGATTTATTCGAAAAGAAACCAGAATATAAGGATAGCATTTCTAAAATATATATTTTAGAATTTTAACCTTGTTTTGTGGATAATTTTGTATCCTGTAGTAGTCATGGACAATTAAACCAATGATTTTCTTATGTTATATTTTCTTCCTGTATATTTTTGAAAGCTACGTTATTTTCCATTGCACTGGATTATTAATATTCAGTTCCTTTTCCTATATTTGAATATGTTAGGTTATTTGTGGTTTTAATTTTGAATAGAATAAAACTCACAGAGGATAATCTGACAACCAATATATTCTAGTATTAGTAACTCTTTAGTTTTTGTCACTTTTTGATTTCAGTATTTTAATGAAAACGATCTATAGAGTCGAGGACCCTTTTGTTTCTCTCCCTGTCTCTCTCCCTTTGCTTCCTCTTTATAGGACAGTACTATCATGGATTTGGTATACATCATTCCAATTTATTTTTAAATACCTTTCTACAGATATTGTATCTAAAAATTCATATAAAAATATCATGTTGCACACATGCTTTTTTAAAATTCTGTCCATGTTAATATATAAGGATCTGATAAGTTTTGTTTGCTACATAGTATTCCACTTTATATCTATATATCTTCATTTGCTCCCCTATTTATGTACATTGTGGATTTTTCAAAATATCACTATGACAAACATTGCCACAGGGAACATGCTTAATACATGTCTTCTAGTGTAAAGTGTTCCTCTAGAGTTGGCTAACTTTTCTACAGAAGGCTAGATGATATTCTCAGCTCTGCAGGCCATATGATCTCTGTTTGCTGCTGCCGTTATAGTGTGAAAGGAGCTGTAGGCAATAACTAAATGAATAGGTAGGGTTTTATTCTAACAAATCTTGACTTATAAAAGCAGGC